TACAGATCAGCCTTGGTTTGACTTTCGTTGTAGAGAGGCTGCTACTGCTAAGTACAAAGCATGGCGAAGGTATAAGAGACATCCTACCACCTATAACAGGAACTTGCACATGCAAGCCTGTAGGCATATGGGTGATGTTCAAAAGTGAGCCATTGCTAAATGGGAGGTGGACACTAAAAGAAAGTTAGCATCAGGTAGGGTAGGCTCCAAAACCTGGTGGTCCCTGGTCAAGGACAGACAAGGTTATCTGCCTGATGAACTTATTCCACCTCTAAATCGACAGGATGGGACCACCTCTACTAGTAGTCAAGAGAAGGTGGACCTCTTTGCTGAACACTTTGCTACCAAAATGCAAGTTCCTGATCCAGCAAGGGACCCTCCTTGGCTAGCTGCAAGAAGGTTGTCAAAACTGTCAGTGGTGACAATAAGGCAGGAGGAGGTGCATTTCCTACTTAAATCACTTGACCAAGAAAAGGCTGTGGGTCCAGACAAGTTGAGCCCAAGATTGTTGAGAAGATGTGCAGACCAGCTAGCAGTACCTCTAACTCGCATCTTTCAGCACTGCCTAGTACAGTGTAAATGGCCCTCTCTATGGAAAGAGGCAAATGTAGTCCCTGTTCACAAAAAGAGCAGAGCAGAAATCAGCAACTACAGACCAGTGTCACTCCTGTCAATCACTGGTAAGATTCTTGAGACAATAATCTCAAGACAAATGACAGTTTTTTGACTACCACTCACTACTTTGTGATCGTCAATATGGCTTCAGGAAAGGTTACTCTGCTGCTGATCTGTTGTTAAACCTCTCCACTAAGTGGCACCAGTCACTGGATGAATCCAAAGTCAGCTGTGTGGTAGCACTGGACATTGCTGGTGCTTTCGACCGGGTGTGGCACCAGGGCCTTTTAGCAAAACTTCAAGCACTGGGAATTGCAGGCTCTACACTATGTCTCCTCAGTGATTACCTTCATGGTAGATCTCTAAGTGTAGTTCTCAATGGAATGGAATCAGCAAGACATCCTATTGGGGCAAGTGTTCCACAAGGAAGCTGGGTCCATTGTTATGGAATGTCTACTTCAACGACCTTCTTCAGCTCATCCCAGAATCACATGCATATGCAGACGACTGTACACTGACATTCACTTGTCCAAGAGAAGAAATGCCAGCTGCTCTAAGCTACATCAATCACCAGCTGAGAGCTATATCAGCTTGGGGAAATAGATGGCAAGTAACATTTGCACCTGAGAAAACGCAAATGATGATCGTCTCTAGGCACCATGATGGTAATGCTGGTGCAGTAGTAAGGATGAATGGGAGGATGTTGGCACCTGGAGAAGAAGTTGATATCCTTGGGGTGAAATTTGACTCCAAACTAACCATGAAGAACCACGTTGTAAATCTTGCAAACAAGGCAGCCAGGAAGCTTACAGCACTTCGCCGTATCTCCCATCTGCTTGACAGTAGGGGTTGCAAGATCCTGTACGAGGCACAAGTACGCTCACACCTTGAGTATGCTCCACTTTCTTGGTTTGCCTGCCCCCCCTCTCATCTGCGACTGCTTGACAGTAGAGAACAGAGCAAGACGTCTCATCTCTCGCCTGGACCCATCCTGGATAGATCTGTCATTTCAGCAGAGCCTTCAACATAGGAGAGATGTGGGTGGCCTTACTGTTACGTACAAGGCCAATATTGTCAAAATACCACACTTGGATCCACTTCGAGGACAGCGTGAAACAAGCTTTTATGCCACAACACAAGACGGGCAAAAAGCAGCAACTTCACTCTGGCTGTACCCTTCTCCAGAACATCACTCCATCTGAGATCATACATACCCAGGATGACTCGAGTATGGAACACATTTGTACAGCATAATGATGTCAACGAGATAACGTCAGTTGATCAAATGAAAATGCTGGCCCACAGATGGCTCCAACTTCATCCTGTTCCCTACTTGTATGTCTCATAACAATAAAAATGCTTTCAAATGAGCTGATGTAGGTAACAGCTCTTAGCTTGCCAATAAAGTTAGGAATCCTTAACCTGTAAATAGCTGTCAATAAAGCTAGGGATTCTTAACCTTGTCAAACCCTGTGTAAAAAAGAGAGATAGAGAGATAGATATAGAGAGAGATAGAGAGAGAGAGAGAGAGAGAGCTGAATATGTATTGCACATGTTCCAAAATTGTTTCTTTTTACTTAGGGCATAGGTTATAGGACATTTTGGCATATAAGCAACTTATCGTTTTAGAACATAACTTACCAGCCACACTTTGGTGCCTATATTGGACCTTAAGTAATTTTTAAGCACTTTGACCAGGGTGATCATTCAAAACTGGGGAAGGGGGGTAGGGGGAGAGACAGAATACAGACAGCATAAACAACCTGGTTAGTCAGGCTATCAACCAGGAAGTCTGGTCTGGGACTAAGAAGGTGATCCCTAAACTCTTTAAATCCTGAATACTATCTAAATGCTAATCAAGAAATGTTTATCAACAGTAACATACCTTTTCAAAAATGAGGTCAATAACAGCAGAAAGCCTTTCTGTAGTGTTGATGGGTAAGGTCTTCACAGTATCAACTAGTCTCATAAACTTTTCTGGGGTAAGTTTATTTAGAATACCTCTCATGACTTTCACAACCTGTAAAAAATATTTAGACAATTTGTTTTCTAACCATACTACAAACAACAGCATGCTAACTCAAATGTGAAATTAAACTAGAAATGTTAGGTGTAAATATGACAAAAAAAATGGTGTGAATAAACTAGAAGATTGTGGTAGGAAAAGTATAATTCAATAAAGGGAGGAAAGTTTGTAAAGATGACCATTTAGAAAGGATGGGCAGGGTATGTTGGCCACGAGGGTGTATAAATCAGGGATGTGTGAAAGGTAGCACTGGGGACATTTAAAGTGGTATTTGAGAGTATACAGTATAGGTTTGGGGATCTCACATTACTAAGCATGAGCAAAGTTCCATACATGATGGGATTCAGGAAAGCTGGTTAGCCATACTTGTATATTAGAGGCGAGGGGTGCAGTGCCTGCACTCTAAACAAGGAATGGATTTGAGGTTAAAAAGGACATACACTATTATTTGTAAAAAGAAACATGACTGCAGTGAAGTACCTTATTTGTAAAAATTCAACAAACTCCAGGTTTTCCAAGTACAAGAAAATGACCAAAATCAGTGGTTCTTAACTGGAAGGTGGGAGTCATGAATAATTTCAAAGGGGGAGGGGGATCTCAAGAACCCAGAGCAAAAATAAGGAAAGGTTTTAACAAGTGGTATTTCAGTAATAGTGTCAAAAATATCACAAAAGGAGTTCTCACTTTATATGTTGTGTATTTGCAATTTGCTCTTTATACAGACTTTTTATGAATAATTAAAAAGAATGAAAATAGTTCCTCAATTTTCCCATATAAATAAGATTTTTTTTTATTTTGACATTTATATGAAGGGGAATGCAGATATGACCAACTGCAGAGGAGGATAGGACCCAAGATAGGTTATGAACTGCTGTCCTAAATAGTCCACAGAAGTGATATCACTTATTCAGGTGGCATGTGGTTACATAAGAACATAGAGGAGGAACACGCAGCAGGCCTGCTGGCCCATATTAAGCAGGTCCTTTACAATCCATCCTGCTAAAAAACCACTTGCCCAACCCAATTTTCAATGCTACCCAAGAAATAAGGTCTGAAACTATCCACTAATACATGCAAGTCCCATTCAAATCCAACCCCTCTCGCTCATGTATTTATCCAACATAAATTTGTAAGTAAAAAACTACTTGAGGACAGTAGGTGCACTACAGGCCTATTGCAGCATACATTTATACAAAGTTGAATGTAATGTCAGTAATTCTACCAACATAATTACAAAGTTGAATATTTAAAAATAAATTTTGAAAGTGGTTTAGTAAATACTGGTATCTCTGAAATTTATCCCTTAGGCTTTTCACCTCACAAAATTTATTTTCATGTGGTGAAGATTTTCAGGAATGTGTAAGAACATAAGAAAGGAGGAACACTGCAGCAGGCCTTTTGGCCCATACTAGGCAGGTCCTTTACAATTCATAAGAAAATAAGAATGGAGGAACACTGCCAAAGGCCCACTGGCCCATGCAAGGCAGGTCCTCATCAAAACGACCTCCACCCAGAGCTACCCAAGAAATAACTCCCGTACCCAATGACACCAATCAAACCCAGCCCCTACCACTCGTATATTTGTCCAATCTCTTCTTAAAGCTACCCAAGGTCCTAGCCTCTAACACCCAATTGGGAAGACTTCCACGCATCTACAACTGTTAGAAAACCAGTACTCACCTATGTCCTTTCTAAATCTAACTTATATCCATTATTTCTGGTTCTTACCTGGTTCGACACCCTCAGTACTTGATTAATATCTCCTCTGTTTATGCCCGTCATCCACTTATACACCTCAATGATATCTCCCCTCATTCTCTCTCTCTCTCTCTCTCTCTCCTCTCTCCAGTGGAGATTTAAGGCTTTAAGTGAGATTAAGACATGTGCAACATCTGGGTATCTTTATTGTAGACGTTTCGCCATCCAGTGGCTTTATCAATACAAATTCTAGGACATAACTTGAAGACAGTAGAACTATGTACAGAAGATGAGGTAATCAGTCCCTCAACCTAGGAGTAGGTGCGAAGAGCACCATAGTCGTGGAGATTCTGAAGCAGAAGAAAGGATCCTGGCGCTTATATAGTAACGTCAGGTGTAGCAGACGAGGGCATATTCACTGGTAGGCGGGATTCCCCAGTGGAAGTAGGTCCTTCCCAAAGAGATGGGTTAGTTGTAGTAGTAGTTGTCGTAGTCGTGAAGGTTATGTACATGTCCTCGGAATTAAGATTCCATGATGTTGCAGTGTCTGACAAGTTGTCAGACTTGTCTGACAAGTTGTCAGACTTGTCAGACACTGCAACATCATGGAATCTTAATTCCGAGGACATGTACATAACCTTCACGACTACGACAACTACTACTACAACTAACCCATCTCTTTGGGAAGGACCTACTTCCACTGGGGAATCCCGCCTACCCGTGAATATGCCCTCGTCTGCTACACCTGACGTTACTATATAAGCGCCAGGATCCTTTCTTCTGCTTCAGAATCTCCACGACTATGGTGCTCTTCGCACCTACTCCTAGGTTGAGGGACTGATTACCTCATCTTCTGTACATAGTTCTACTGTCTTCAAGTTATGTCCTAGAATTTGTATTGATAAAGCCACTGGATGGCGAAACGTCTACAATAAAGATACCCAGATGTTGCACATGTGTCTTAATCTCATTTTGTCGGTATTGTATACCATTCGTACACAAGGCTTTAAGTCTATCTTCATATGGGAGATTCCTTATACAGTAAATCATTTTAGTCATTCTTCTCTGTATGTTCTCTAATGAGACTATATCCATCCTGTAGTAAGGGGACCAAAACTGAGCAGCATAATCTAAATGGGGCCTCACTAGTGATGTATAGAGCTGTAAAATAATTTTTGGACTCCAGGCTGAGGAACTGATTACCTCAAACTCCTCTCCTCACACCTTTCTGCTTTGTATTGGACTGATTAAGCCACTGTGTGGCAAAACGTTTCCTATATAAAGATTCCCATATGTTGCACAAGTTGATAAATTAGACACATGTGCAACTCTTGGGTATTGAGGAAACGTTTCACCACACAGTGGCTTCATCAGTCCATACAAAGGAGTATCTTGAAGAACAGGAGGAGAATGAGGTAATCAGTTCCTCAACCTTGAGTTGATGTGGTCAGTCCTCAATTTTGAATAGAATATGGCTAGTCGGGCGTTTTATAAACCAAAGGGCAGGGAGGGCAGCAGTTGTGGGTGGTGTACTTTTCCCCCAATGTGGAAGTGGGCATGTCGGGGGTTAGGCAAGCGAAAAATTTCCCCAAGTCTTTTTCCTGAACCTTCATCTACAATCCTGTGACACGCAACTTCTTGGGATCTTAATACCTGGGCACGCCCTATTTCCCAATTTGGGCAAATGGACCCCACCTAGAGGCACCTCTCCTGCCTACTTTTTTAAAGCTGTTCTCTGAATATGCCGTTTCATTCAAGATTGATGGTCAAACAAAGCCCCTGGCCTCAGGTGAAAAAAAAGATTAGAAAAATCCCCAATAGTTCCAGGTATATTGGTTGAACAATTCAAATAGTAATGTTGCCTTTAAAAAAATCACGCCGTGCACGCACACACCACGCGCGCGCGCGCAAAAAACGCAAAACAAAATAGAAAACATCCCTCTTCCGTTTGTAACTTTCCTCTTCGGGTTTTTGGGATTCTTTTACAGAGGGTTTTCCCAAGCATTCCTGTTTTTAGTCTCGCTCTCGCCCCAGTTAGTGGGGGATAAAAAATTACCTTCCCTTGCCCACTACGACCACCCCCACCCCACCACCTCCCCCCCCCCCTATTCAGGACCACCACCTTTTTTTGACAGCGTTGCTGACTGTTGCGGGTAACCATTCTTGGTTGCTGAAAGTTTAACCAAAGTGCATGTTAGTTTCTCTTAATATTAAGTCAAAATTCAGTTGTTTAAATCAAAACAACAATTAAATTTACCACCAAAGTGCCCCAAAAATTAGAAAAGGAAAAGGGGAAAGGAGATAGAAAAAAAAAAAAAAAAGGTTTCATAGCCCTTACTTTGCAAGTGTTATATTTTGCCCAAAAAATAAGGTATATTTGAATATTACATTAATCAAGAAAGTTAGATTTTTATCAGTTTTTGAAAAAATGTGAAAGGAGTTTTCCAGTTCTCAAGATTTCCTAACCAGCAGCCATACACAAGCACACATCAGCAGCTTTTAAAAATATATTTCCAAATAAATAAATAAATAAATAAATATACATACACACACAAACGAGTTTTTTTAACACGTCGGCTGTCTCCCTCCAAGGCAGGGCCCCCCAAAGAAAAAAAAAAAAAAAAAAAAAAAAAAACTTTTTTATCAAAACTTTCACCATACTCTAAAATCACTGTCTTTGCAAGGCACCCAGATACAAAAATTTTTAAATAGCACCAAAACTTCCAAACCCCAAAAACCCCCCCAATCTTTCGGGGTTTTGACGTATAGTACGGTCATGCACCAAAGGTTATTGACTACTAAAAGCCTAAATTCAGTGCCTAAAATCTAGCGAGAGAAAGCGGTGGGCCCTACATATGAAAAATGGGTCTATGGGGTCAGTGTGCACAGTATTAAAAAAACCCCGCGCACACATGCACGAGGAAAAAAAAATCCCCATCGTGTTTTTGGTTTAAAAAAAAGGCTTTACGTGCATTTTCGTTGGTATTTTTGGTTGTATTCGTTTTTTCCCGGTCTCATTTTAGGAATGAAGACATATGTTTCGGCCCGCCAAACTAGCGGTTAAAAGTTTAACTGCCGGCCGGCAGTACCACTGGGGGCGTCATCAAACCCAATTGGGGGTGCGGGCCCGGCCCTTAAACAGTAAGAGCCCGAGTGCCTCAGGTACACACCCAAGCAGTAGGTACGACCACGAAGGGTCACGTTACTGGCTTTGTAACATATGTACCAGAGCGCCCCGCTTTACACACCTAAGCAGTAGGTACCCGACCCCCGAAGGTACACGTCTATGGGTTTTGTAACGTATGTACCAAGCGCCTCGCGTACACAAAATAAGCAGTAGGGGACTGACCACCGAAGGGGACACGTTACTGGGTTTGTAACAGTAAGAGCCTGAGTGCCTCACGGTCCCACCCAAGCATAGGTACCTGCCCCCCGAAAAGGGGAACGTTACTGGCTTTAGAACATAGTACCAGAGGCCTCGCTGTACAACCTAACAGTAGGGAAACCCGACCACCGAAGGGGACACGTCTACTGGGTTTAGTAACAGTATGTCCAAAGGGGCCTCGCTGTACACACCTAGCAGTATCCCGACACGAAGGGTACATCTATGGCTTAGAAATATTTGTACCCGAGCGCCTCGCTTACAACCAAGCGTAGGTACCTGACCACCGAAGGGGACAGTCTACTGGGTTCAACATTAAGTACCTGAAAATCTCAGGGTACAGTTTGCAGTGGTACCCGACCAACCCAAACGTACCTATCTACTGGCGTTAAAGAACCGCTCACCCCAGCTCATGAGTCTGTTGGCCCCAGTTTTCTTGACGGCCGCATTCGTGAGCTTTGCAGCTGGTGTTCGGCTAGCGGTGTGTCAACCGCCCTTTTGGGGGGATTTTTTGGACTCCCGGGGGATGTCTGTGGACTCACCGTCTAGTTGATCAACTGTGGGGCCCGGGGCGTCAGAGCTGTTTAGTGGGGCATTACATGAAAAAAGGGTTTGGGGTGTTACACTGAAATGGGCCAGGGCCGTATGGACACTGAGGGACGTACATGGAGGGAAACGAATATGCACAGGACCCTAGTGGAACACTGAGATGAAAAGGTGTCTTTTTTACACTGAAGTGGCTGGTTTTAGTGACATGAACAGTGCGTGTGACTGACTTCGAGCGGGACGTTGATTTTAATTTATTATTAAAAAATGTTAAAATTTTAATTTATTATTTTAGCATAGAGATATATAATATAGTGACCAGTTGGGCAAGAATTTTTACCCTGTGTAGGGTTATTTTAATTATATTTTAGTAAAATGCGATTATAATTTTTTTAGTAACATGTACATATTTTATTATATCATAGTCAAATACCTCTAGACCAAAGATAGTTGATTTTTATATATTAAAGATTAAATTTATTTTAATGTGTTATTTTTGTACCCCAACTTTTATTCAAAAGGAGTAAATCTTAATACCACGTCTTTTTAAAAAATTTTTTTTTTGTAATATAGGTGGCCTGTCCCGGGGGGATAATGATTATCTAGAATGATTTTGGATGATCAATCCGGGTGACGGTTCGGGATACATTTACATTTATCTTTTTGTGCGGTCCTTTTGTGGGGGGGTGTTGCGGGCCCCTGCCAAAATAGGGTTAAAATTAACCTGCCGGGCCCGGGAAAAACCCCTGGGTGCGTCATCAAAACCCAATGTGGGGGCTGCTGGCCGGCCTTAGAGCAGTAGGCCTGAGTGCCTCACGGTACACACTAAGCAGTAGGTACCTGACACCGAAAAGGGGACACGTCTATGGCTTTAGTAACAGTAGTACCAGAGCGCCTCCCGACACCCTAACGTAGGAAACCTGACCACCGAAGGGTTCACGTCTACTGGCTTTAGTAAAAGTAGTACCAGAGGCCTCGCTTACACACCCAAGCAGTGGTACCTACCACCCAAGGGGGCACGTTTTCCCGGCTTTTTGAACAGTAAAGCCGAGTGCCCACGGTACACACCTAAGCAGTAGGACCTGACCACCCAAGGGTAAGCATGGCTTTAGTAACAGTATGTACCAAGGCCTCGCTGTACAACCTAAGAGTAGGTACCCGCCACCCAAGGGTACAGTCTACTGGCTTTGTTTAAATTTGTACCAGAGCGCCTCGCTTACACCCTAAGAGTAGGTCCTAACCCCCGAAGGGGACACGTCTACTGCTTTAGAAATATTAGCCCGAGCGCCCGCTTACACACCTAAACATAGGGCCTGACCACCAAGGGTACACTCACTGGCTTTTAACATTAATACCGAACTCCTCGGGTAACGCTATGCAGTAGGTCCCTGCCCCGAATGTACCTATCTACTGGCGTTAGAAGAACCCTCACCGCACTCATGAGTCTGTTGGGCCCTTGTTACTTGACGGCCGCATTCAGTGAGCTTGCGCATGGTGTTCGGCTGCGGGGTGTCAACCCCCTTTGGAGAGGATTTACTGGACTACCCGGGGATGTCGGGGACTCACCGTTTCGTTGATCAACGTGGGCCGGGTTCAATGTGTTTTGTGGGACATTACTGAAGAAAAGGTTTGGGTTTAACCCGAACGGGCAGGCCCTGTGTGACATGAGGGACGTGATGGAGTGGAACACGGATATGCACAGGGCCGTAGTGGGAAACTGAGATGAAAAGGGTGTCGTTTGACCTGAAGATGGCCCGGGTTTTTAGTTACACTGAAAAAGGTCGGTGACTGACCCTTTGAGTCTGGGGCAGTTGATTGTAATTTATTTTTATAAAAAAGTTATTTATAATTATTATTTTGCAAGGGGTATATATATTGTGACACGTAGTGTCAAGAATTTTTTAACCCTGTGTAGGGTTTTTTTAATTTATTTTTGTAAAAAAGCGATTTAATTTTTTTTTAGTAACATGTACAATTTTTTTATATTTATAGTTTTAAATCCTCAGACCCCAAAAATAGTTGATTTTTATATATTAAAGTTTTAAATTTTTATTAATGTGTGTTTTATGTATCCCGAATCTTTATTACAAAAGGAGTAAAAACTTAACATCTCTTCCTTTTTAAAAATACTTTTTTGTAAAAACATATTACAAATTAAGTGATTTTGATGGTTTTTAATAAAAATTTCATCATTAACCTTTCCCTCACTCAACATAAAACTTTTTTCAGAGGTGCCCAGAATACAACAGTTTAGAAGTTTAAAACGTATAAAAAAAAAACAATATCTCTCACCAAACTGCCCTATCCCAAACCCCTCCTTTAGAGGAGGATTGTATTCCCCTTTTTTGGATCAAGTCCATTATATAAAATAATTTTTTTCCCTGAATTTTCCCTTACTAAATATTACCCTGTCACAACTCCCCGATCGTCAGGTCCCCAAAAACCATTGCTCCCTTCATCCCACTAAACACCTACGCACGCTTCTGGAAAACCAAACCCCTGCCCCCAAACCTTCCTTTTCCCCCCCCTCCAACATTTTCGAGGAGAACCCCACCCCGTTCCTTCCCCTACAGTTCATACGTCTCCTGTCATTTTACTTTGTCCACTCTCTTAAAAGACCAAAACCCCTCAACAAACCCCTCCCGAGTCCTTGACTAATCTTTTTTAACTCCAACCTTCTCCAATTTTTCCACACTCCAATTTTTGCATAATATTTACACCACACATTCCCTTTTAGACAGGACACCCACTGCCCTAACTGCCACCTTGCTGCAGCATTTCCAACCCAAGCTTCACACCCATAAAAGTTTTTGTACTCATATTTTCTACATTCCCTTTTTTTGCCCCAAGATAAAATTTTTTTGCCCAACATATACCCCAATGCACCACTCCCCTTTTCCCCCCCCCTCATCAATTCTAATTAACCTCACCTTCAAAACCATCCACTGACACTTCAACCCCCAAAAATACTGAAAAATTCACTTCTTCCATACTACTACCCCCCAATTTGATACCCAAATTTTTTCTTTATCAAAAATCTTTTTGATACTCTCATCACCTT